GGAAGGAAGGAAGGAAGGAAGGAAGGAAGGAAGGAAGGAAGGAAGGAAGGAAGGAAGCTTTCCGTGCACATCTCAGATTAGATTCCTGTGATCCCTGTTTGAATATTCTGTTGGCTCCTGTATTTTTACCCCCAAGAAGCTGGATTTTGTTTTTGTTTTTTTGGGGGGGATTAATCCAGATAATTTTGGCAGCTGTGGAGTGACTGTGGCTGGAACATCCACGTAGACTATGCCCACAGCCGTTACAGAGTGGAGCAAAGCTCTGTATTCCCTCACCCCCCTTTTCAGCTTTTTGAAATGCCTTTTATATTTGCCCCAGTATACCATGGCTCAGCAGGCACGGGGAAAGGGTGGGGGGCTATGGGAAGCCAGTGGGACTATTGCCTTGTTGGTACTTCTGCACCATGGTGACAGAGGTGTGTGTTGGGGGGTGGTGGTGGACAACAGCAAGTGGTATGGAGGGAGGCCCCCTGGACACCATTCCTACCCACTAGGGTTGCTAGCACCTCCCTGGCCACCGATTGGGGATGGAGAGGGGAGGGTTGCCAGATCCATGTTGGGGAACTCCTGGAGATTAGGGGATGGAGCCTAGGGAGGACAGGGACCTCAGTGCGGTGCAATGCCAAAGAGTCCACCCTCCAGAGCATCCATTTTCTCTAGGGAAACAGATCTCTGTATTCTGGAGATGAACTGAAATTCCAGGGGATCCCCAGGTCCCACTTGGAGGCTGGCATCCTCCTATCACCTACTTCCTTGCTGCTCTCTGTCCCTGCCACCTCAACAGACATGCTTTCACACCCCTGTGTGGAAGCAGCTTGTTAAGCACCTCTTCCTCAGACCTCTCTTGATTTGCTTCCTTAACGGAAATGGTTCCTTAATAGAATTTGCTTCCTTAATAGAAAATGGTTGCTTCAATTACTATCTCTGGCTTTTATTGGTTGTAGCCATTTATTATTCATATTACACCACCCAAGTGGGGCTGAAGGAAACCATTTCAGTGGTTCCGGCACATTCCCCTAGAAAGAGGTTCTGGAGTTCCGGAACCTCTTCGACAAAATTCTTTTAAAAATGTTTAAAAGTCCACGAGTTTTCAGTATACAGACTGAACGTATGTGGTGTGGAATGTAGAGTGGCGCAGGGAGCAATTCTCTCCCTAATTCTGTTTAATATCTATACGCGCCCCCTCGCCCAGATTATCTGGAGGTATGGGCTGGCTTGTCACCAATATACTGATGACACCCAGCTCTGTCTACTGATGGATAGCCACTTAGACTCTGACCCAGAAAATCTGGATAGAGCATTACAAGCCATGGCTGGATGGTTACAACAGAGCAGACTGAAATTGAATCCATTGAAGACGGAGGTCCTGTAACTGTGGCGTGGAGGACTGGGATTGGGAATCAGGCTTCCAACCTTTGATGGGACCCCATTGGTGCCAGCATCAAAGGTGAAGAACCTGGGGGTGTTCCTGGAGGCCTCGCTGACTATGGAGGCCCAGGTCGCCACCACTGCCAGGTCTGCCTTTTTCAATATCAGATAGATCAGGCAGTTGGCCCCAGACCTCACCACCCCCCCAGGCATCTGACTACAGTGACCCATGCAATGGTCACTTCCAGATTGGATTTTTGTAATTCTCTCTACGTGGGGCAGCAGCACAGGTACTGACTTTGTTGTCTGCATGGGTGCATATCCACCATGTGCTGCGCAAACTGCACGGGCAGCCTGTTGAGTACCAGATCCATTTCAAGGTGCTGGTACTTAGGTTCAAAGCCCTCTATGGCCAGAGGCCTGCATACCTGTGAGACCGCCTCTCCCTTTATGAGCCCCAAAGGGCATTACGATCTGCTAATCAGCATCTCCTGGTGATCCCCGGCCCCAGGGATGTCCGTCTTGCCTCTACCTGGCCCTGGCCTCTACCTGGTGGAATGAGCTCCCATATGAGATCAGAGCCCTGCAGGACCTTTTACAGTTCCTCAGGGCCTGCAAGACAGAGCTCTTCTGCCAGGCTGTTAGTTGACGCAGTGGCCATCCTCCCCCCTCCCTCTGCCTGCCTGCCTGCCTGCCTGCCTATCTATCTATCTATCTATCTATCTATCTATCTATCTATCTATCTATCTATCATCTGTCTATCTGTCTATCTGTCTATCTATCTATCGTCTATCTATCTGTCTATCTGTCTGTCTGTCTATCTATCGTCTATCATGTATCTATCATCTATCAATCAATCATCTATCTATCTATCTATCTATCTATCTATCTATCTATCCATCCATCCATCCATCCATCCATCCATCCATCCATCCATCCTCCCCTTCAGTGGATCAGATCTGTGTAACATCTGGAACTCCAATTTGTGATAGATCACATCTGTTGAGGCTTTGAGTAGATACTGTTACTGTATTTTACCTGATGTATTTTAACTGTTTTTAATTGTTTGTATATTATATTTGATGGAACCTGCCCTGAGCCTGCTATGCAGGGAGGGTAGGATACAAATCTAATAAAAAATAAAATAAAATAAATTTCCCTTTTGAGAGTTCTGGCACCTCTTTTTCAAATAACAACAACAACAACAACACCCTGGGTGCAAGGGTTCATTTCTGAACATAGTGCAAATAGATAAAATATACAGAAAATGCAATTTGCAGTTGTATCACATCTGTGCAATATAAACTGGCATAATATCCAAGGAGTAAGACACACAGTTATTACAGAATGCTGGCCAACTCCTTTTCACAATCCATTTCCTCAGAAAATATTTAGCCCCATATCAAATATATATATTTTCTAAGGAAGAAATACCTAAAATTTTCCTTGGTAGTCAAACTAATGAAACATAAATGTGTCCTTGAGGATCCCAGGTACTTTGGAAACTTGGCCCGTGCCACACGAAATTACCTGAGCACTCGGCGCTTGCATCCCTTCTGTGATCACAGCTGTGCTCTCCCCAGGGATTTTTTGAGCATTTTTTGAGGGACTTTTCTTTCCCTGTGCAGTTAACTCTGTCCAGCCAGATGGTACCAGATCCTTGGCCGTAGCGTGCTCCCCCAGGTGCTGACAAGGCATTCCCACAACCTAGTTCTCGGCACACAACGTGGGCATCATGTACATCCCAGCTATCATCACAAATGGTCCCCCATTGCTCATTGTAGTAGACTTCAACCCTCCCTGAACAGCGATTTGAGCCACTCATTAAACGGACATCTGATGAGACAGAAAAGTTAAACACAGAGTAGAAATGGATTAAACCTAGAAGGAATGCCACACATAGAATAAACCTAGGAGTTCCCCTGAGCATCCCATTTTGAGTAGGGAATTATGAATTCATGTAGGCACCCGGGGCAGGGGCCATTCCCAGCTACATATCAAAGCCATTTTACTTTGTGGAGAGAAATCTTGAATAGTCATGGACCAAAACAAGTGAAGGACAGTTATTGCTTGGTGTTGCACGCATGCGCTGAGGAAGCCGGTTGCTTGTCCGACCTCTCCTTAGAATAATTAACTTAAAAGCTCAAAAAGAACGTGTTTAGACTGTCCTCAAGGTCAACTAAAAGAAGAAATCATCGTAGGAACATCCGGTGAACACAAGGAATTCCACTCTGAAGCTTCAGAGGGTAAGATAGCAATTATTTATTACTGCATTAGGGAGGTAACACCCAGGCCAAACTCCCAGCCCTTATCTGCTTCACCGGAAAATAGCTGTTATTATGGCAAAAACTTTGAAAGAGATTTCAGAGTAGATAGCAGCATTCCAGAACATGATGATGGCTTCTCAGGAGCAGATAAAAACTGAAATTAAGACAATAAAAGACGCAGTGTCAGAACTAGCAGTCGAGATTAAAGAAACAAAACAGAGGGCGTTGGCAGCCTCCGAGCTTGCTGCAAAAAACAAACAGAGGATTAATCAGTTAAATACCCAACTTACGGAGTTATCAGACAGGAACAGATGAGCAAACCTTATATTTGCAGGGATATCAGAAGAAATAAATAATAAGATCCTGGAAGAAACTCTTAGAGCATGGATTGAAGAAAATGGAGTTAAGGTCCAACCCCAAGACATAGAAAGAGCCCACAGATTGCAAAGGAGAAAGGAAGGAGGAGCCCCAAGGGACGTTATAATTAAATTCACAAGAGAAAAGCTACAGCAGGAAGTTTTTAAAACTCTGAAAAAGAAGAAGGACCTGACCCTCAGAGGGAGGAAGATCTGGATTAGGGAGGATTTTTCTCAAGAAACCATTAAGAAGAGAAATCAAATGAGACCCTATGGGCAAAAATTATATGAAAATAATGTGAAATTTTCATGGGGGTATCCTGCTTCAATATTAATATTTAAAGAAGCCAAGAGACTAAAAGCACAAAACCCCAAGGAAGCAAGGGAACTCTTCAGGCAACTGGGTATCGATACAGAAGACCTGAGAGAGCAGAGAGAGGAGGAAGATATGGAGGATGTGGACGGACCGGAAGAAGGACCTTCAAACAGACGTGATAAAAGACCAAGGACGGACTCACACGAGGATACTACATAAAGGGAAGTATACTAAAGTTTATTGAGCTAGCTTTAAGAATAAGAAGGAAGGGGAGGGTTGGGATGCGTGCACTCTGGAAAGTGGGAAGACGGGATGATGCCTTCATCCACAGTAT